AGCTATAAGATATAATTGGCCGATCCTTATGAAATTCGGCACTTCGTATTATTTTCTAGCTCTGAAAAACACAAAAGTTATACCATTTCCGATCAATCAGTTATGTGGCAGCTATAGGATATAGTCGGCCGTTCCCGGCCGTTCCGACATATATACTGCGTGCAAAGAAAAGAAGGGTGTGCGCAAAGTTTCAAGCTAGCTTCAAAACTGAGAGACAGACAGACAGACGGACAGACGGACATGCTCATATCAACTCAGGAGGTGATCCTGATCAACAAAATATATACTTTATAGGGTCGGAGATATCTCTAAATTATTTATAATATATAAATTATAATACACTTTGCAAGGGTATAAAAAAACTAGCCCTTCTAGAAAACATAAAACAAAAAAAACGTTTGCCGGGTTTGCTTGTTCGAAATATATTTGTTCAACCATTGAACAAGATTTTAGATAAAAATTCTAAGATAGGGGTTCAAGGATCGGACCCTCGTTAATATGAGATGAACAGCATGGTCTAAAACTGAGCTCCTGTAGCCAAAACAAAAGCATAAGTAGTACGCTTATTGCACTTAAGAAAGGGTCGCATAGCATGTCAGCGTGCAGTGCGTTGATAAGTAGTTTTAAATAGATTTAAGATTTTCATGTATCTTTCTTGTAAAATAATTGTAAAAAATAAAAACAGTTTTATAACGAAACTCACTGGAGTAAGATCTATGTATTTATTTGTGCTCCTCTTAATAAGTTACTTTTTGTTTCAATCAGAGTTATATATAGAGTATAACGGTACAAATTATATCAAATTAGAAAAAAAAACAAGAAAGTAAAGCTAACTTTGGGCGGAGCCGAAGTTGATATAATCTTGCAGTTAAAACCGGATATATATCGAAAAAATTGGACATTGTTGGCCGATCCTTATGAGAATATCATAATATAACCAATTTATAATAAAATGTATACAATAAAAATGTATACAATTTACAATAAAATGTAAAAAAAAAGTTCCAAGCTCCTATCTTCAAAAATTGCAAAGTTAGTATTTCTGCCAAAAACCATTTAATGCCGCCATGGACACAAAGTCAGGGATATACACAATCCCACGCAAAAAGGTACAAAGAAGCCACTAAACATTTTCTTTATTAACCTCGAGCCAGCCAAAAACAACAAGGAGGCCTTTCAAGTCAAGCGGCTATGCTGCACGGTAGTTACGGTTGAGCTACCAAAAAAATCGTCGTTCGACCGAGTCTGGCATCCCGGTCTACTATATAAATTAAAGACTGGCCTACCCCGACCATACTTCCAGTTCCTAAACTAGTTTTTGGGAGACCGTAAATTTGCGGTAAGATGCGGCGAGGCCATATCCGGTCTAAGAGAAGCTCACGCTGGTGTACCCCAAGGCAGCGTTCTTGGCCCGTTGATGTACAACGCTTACACGGCCGACCTCCCTGTTCTCCAGAGGCCAAACCTGCTCACAGCAACCTATTCAGACGACACCGCCTTCCTTACCACCGCCGATAGCGCCATGGGGGCAGCCGAAACCATGCAATTGCAGCTTGACTTGCTCAGCAACTGTCAAAAGCGTTGAAACATTGCCGTCAATAACGAGAAGTATACTGCCACCACATTTTCTCTCTGCAAAAGCAACTGCCCTCCAGTTAACCTCAACGGCTCCCCAATCCCACAGTAAGACAATCCCAAGTACCTTTGATTCACCCTAGACAGGAGGCTCACCTGGAGGCCCCATCTGATTAAGAAGAGGAAACAGGCTGATCAAAGACTTCGATCCTTTTACTGGCTCATGCTCAGATCGAAGCTGAGAACTTCCACGAAACTTCTTATTTACAAGGCCATAATAAGCCCAATCTGGACGTACGGCATACAGCTCTGGGGCACTGCGAGCAAGACAAACGTCGTGTGCAAGACAAAGAGCACTTCGAATCGCCACTGGGGCCTACGTCTATCATGACAATCGCACCATCCACGAGGTTCTCAATTTTCCTTGGGTCAAGGACGAGATCCAAAGCAAGCAGCGCTCGCTACATGCAGAGGCTTCATAATCACCCGAACCTGTTGGCCAGCTCCCTGCTGGAGAACAGCGAGCAGCCCAGAGGATTAAGAAGGACACACCCGCTGGACCTCCTCTTACTACTCTTACTATTTATTTCTACAATATTAATATGTAAAATTATCTATAAGTAAAGTTCATTTGACAACATTTAATGGTTGTCCTTAAAGGACAGTTTTAAATAAACGTTATCCTGCTATTACAAACAAAATCTAAAAAAATTCCCAAACTTCTTCAAGAACTCCAAAGTTGGTATTTCTACCAAGAACCATTTCCGATCGTTCAGTTATATGGCAGCAATAGGATATAGTCGGCCGATCCTTATGAAATTTGGCATGTCGTAATGTTTTGCCAAAAATGCCTCATGTCAAGTTTGAGCTCTCTAACTCTAAAAACACCAAAGTTATACAATTTCCGATAAATCAGTTAAATGGCAGCTATAGGATATAGTCGGCCGATCTCTCTAACTCTGAAAACACAAAAGTTATACCATTTCCGATCAATCAGTTTAATGGCAGCTATAGGATATAGTCAGCCAATCCGGGCCGTTCCCACTTATATATATACTGCGTGGAAAGGAAAGAAGGGTGTGTGCAAAGTTTCAAGACGATAGCTTTAAAACTAAGAGACTAGTTTGCGTAGAAACAGACAGACGGACATGCTCATATCAACTCAGGAGGTGATCCTGATAAAGAATATATATACTTTATTGGGTCCGAAATGTCTCCTTTACTTCGTTGCACACTTTTGGACAAAATTATAATACCCTCTGCAAGCTTATTAAAAAAAGGTTTGAAAATTCTATCTTCTATCTTCAAAAATGCAAATTTTGGTATTTTCACCAATTAATTACAATAAAATATCTAAAAAAAAGTCACAAGCTTCTATCTTTAAAAATACCAAAATTGGTATTTCTACCAAAAACAATTTCCGATCGTTCAGTTATATGGTAGCTATAAGATATAGTCGACGGATCCGTATGAAATTTGGTAGGTCGGATTAACTGACAAAAAAAATACTTTATACTAAGTTCTAGCTTTCTATTTTTAAAAACACGAAAGTTGGGTCATTTCCGATCGTTCAGTTATATGGCAGCTATAGGATATATTCGGCCGATGCAAGCCGTTCCGACTTATATACTGCGTGGAAACGGAAAGAAGGGTGTGTGCAAAAGTTTCATTATTTAATTGCTACATGGCTTTTATTAAATTATTAATTAATTAATAATTATTAATCTCTTAAGGGTGTGTGCAAAATTTTAAGTCAATCGGTTTAAAACAGAGACACTAGCTCGGGTAGAAACAGACAGACACCCGTTCCGACTTATATACTGCGTGCAAAGGAAAGAGGGATGTGTGCAAAGTAATAAGTCAATACGTTTAAAACTAAGACACTTAATAATTTTATTAACACATTTCTATACACAAAAACATTTGTCGAGTATGTTGAAAACGCTAAAGACAGATCGGTAATAATCACATTTGTAAATGAAAAGACTACACTATTGGCCAAATTTAAACAAAAAGCTTAAGAAGTTTATCATAAGTTGCAAAAGTCAAAAACACCCCGTAGAAATTCCTATCGGTGAAGCACCTATTTCAGAAGGAAAAGGGGAATGGTTGCATCTTGACATATGTATATTATGCCCAAAATCTTGTATTTATTACTTGCATAGATTCGTATTTAAAATACTTAGCAGTAAAATAAATTCCTAATAAACTCAATATAGGAAAAAAAAGTTTCAGAAATTTTAAAACAATTTTTAATGGCCAAAATATTGATGACAGATAACAAACCCATTTTTTTTTAAATTTCACTAAACAACGTTTAATAAAATCCTTTGAACAAAGAAATTAGAAGATGCAAATTTATGTTCAATCGCATTGTGACCCACATAGTCTCGTTCTCACTTAGGAATAAGGTCTTACATCGTGTTTCCTTTATGGAATACATCACTGCTTATTTAAGAAATATACACATTTTATAGTATCCGAATATATTTTATCAAATTATTCGGAACTCTCATTCGATCATATTAACATACTACATCCTTTTATTCAAATTAAACAAACGCAAATATACGCACATCGAATGGAAGAAGTTGCACCAAAAACTGAAAGCCAGCAGCCTCCACTGGATCATAAACTCACGATCGCCACTGTACCTGGACTACAAGTTTTTACTATACAATATTATATAGTACCTAGACTACAAAAACATCCACCGGGATCTGGGCATCCTTGCAGTGACAGACAAAATCCAAAAGCAAAAAGAGTCCTACAAAGAAAAACGGTCTTCGCACTCAAATTTCCTCGCTCGGGGATTGACTTGGGTTTCTAGCGGATCCCGCCTGCGACGCAACGACCTCCCAACCCAGCAATCGTTTTTTAGGGCCGTCTGACTCTGTACCAGTCAATGTACCAGTTTACCAATTAAAAAAAAATACCAATTTAAAAAAAAATATGAATATATAATATAAATATATAAACATATGAGTTTGACTTTGAAGTGAGTTTTTGTAGATCGAAATTTTTGTATAAGTTAACACAATCACCCGCTGCAAATTTAAGTTAAAATCTGATATATAATAATATAACATATTTGAACATATAGTCGTAAGACCCGACCGCAATGAACTTGGGTAGTAGTAAGACGAGCTTTAGAGATAAGAAGTTCTTATTAAGAACATTTCGGTACTTTGTTTTCGTTAATAGATTTAGCATTACAGATAAGAACATTTTCTGTACAGTCAGTCGATATTTGGAGATCACATGCGCCGGTCGTCACCGGTCATCAATAAAATCTCAACTCACAAAACCCACGTGGATAATTATTATATAATTAATCGGGCACGCTAGACAGCGGACCGAATAAATAAAACCTATTAACAAACATAAACTAAAGCATCTTAATTTATATATCTATTAGTAAATACCTGGTGTATGCGGGTATAGTTTCACTTCCGTTTGTTGTTTTTAAAAAATTTAATATCATATTCCAATTTTTATCGTCATAGTTAACTGGAAAAGGTCCAATCTCCTCTGGATTTGCAATAATAAAATTGTTTTTATCAGGCATGTTAGAGATGGAAATTTGTTTTTCTCCTTTCAACCAAAAGTATGAGTAGTTACTTGTATTTTGCATAGAATCTTGTCGCATATATGGAATAGGGATCAACCATGCCATTTCATCTTGTTTCGGTACATCATGAGGTCTCTCCCTAAGGTATACTTTTTGATTTATAATCGCTGTTCCTGCTTTGTAATCTCTTGTAATAGTGATAAGTGGAAGTCGGCCTTTTTGTACCCAAGAATCAGCAATATCTATTATACTAAGATTACCTTTCATTGTGTCATCAATTTTTGATTGCTTAGATAGTGCGTTCCAAAAGTCACGCTCATTATAGGTTTTGTATTTGTAATCACAAATAAAATTTCTAATTCCTTGTTTGAAGCTCGATTTACCTATAGTATATTTAATCATTCGTATAATAAGTTCTATTTTAAAAGAATTGGATTCTTGTTTCATTCCTGTGATACGTGAATATGGGTATCTTTTACTTAATTCATAATATAATGAGTAAAGAATGGTCATCGGATATTTTCCATTGAATTCAATGCCACCATCTATCTACACAAAAAAAGGAAATTTAAGCAATAATTATTATTTTTTATTATTTTACTTACATTTATAACTATCTCTGTTGCTAAAAAACTTATGAGAGCTTTGTTTAGAGGTTCAATACTCCACCAACTTGGAGTTAACCATATACCAATCCAATGATGTATAATTTCTTTGGAAATTTGGAAGAACCCGTTATTGGCAAATTCCGACTCCCTTCAAAAACAAATGTAAGTTTTTAAATTTAAGTTTAAGGGATTATTTACCTTCCAATTAATATGCCCCAACTGCTTATATATGGAATCGTTGGTAATTCGGGTATGATGAATACATCAATTTTAGATGACGGTAGAGGAACGTCAAAAACATCATTAATTGATTTTAGAATGATTGTTAATCGTGATTGTACATTCTGCAAATAAAACAAATTTTATTTAAAAAAAAATAAAATTTACATGAAACTTTATAAACCATTAAGGTGTATGATTAATACAATAAAAAGAGAAAAACAAGAAAGGAAAGCTAAATCCGGATATATATCACAAACATCCGATAAAGTTGGTCGATGCTTATGAGAATATCATAATAAAACCAATTAATTACAATAAAAAAATCTAAAACAAAGTCCCAAACTTCTATCTTCAAAAATACCAAAGTTGGGACCGTTCCGACGGGAGAAACAGACAGACGGACAACAAAGGGGGTGATCCTGAATATATAGAATATATATATATCAAGAATATATATACTTTATAGGTTTGGAGATGTCTCCTTCACACTTTTGAACGAAACAGAAGTCACTTTGAACAGTCAAAGTTGAAAACGGAACCAAGGATTTGGTAGCATGCCATTGGATCATTGGAAAGATCACTTCATCATTAAAAAGACAGAGCATCTACGCGTCTGCACTACAAATCTTTAACGATCTGCCACTGGCAGATTCACAATTTAGCACAAGCGGCTTAATCGATATTCTTTTGGGCAGCGAGCATGCTTGAAGGGCTACTACTGGAAAAATGATGTAGGACAACAAAGCCAAGCTGATTGCTATTTCGTCATTTTTTGCATGGGTGATCACATCCTTGTTTTCGCAAATTCATAGACACTCTTCAAAAATCTCTCCAGTGGTTCAAAATTTCAAATCTCCAGTGGTTCAAAATTTCCAAAGTGGGGAATTTCTACTTGGCACATCATCCTAAATTGGGTCGGAAGCTCAGCGTAGTTTAATATGGCGACGTCAAAGGTAAGAAGTTAAGCAAAACACTCTCGATCGACAAATACGATTTTCAGCGGACATAGTCAGAATGATTCGTCCAATTGATCGATTGATTTCAAATGATTCCAATTTTGTCACGGTGACGATGATATGTATATCATGTGCACCATTCTTAGCAGTTCGAGACTGGAGCAACAGGCTGCTGACCACCAGTAAAAGTTTCCAATAACAGAAAAAATCTTGATGGAAGACTTCTTTCTGAATGACGCACCCAAAGGTGAGAATGACCTGCTGCGCAATTGGACGAGCTCGTGAAATTGATGTCCTGTACTAGAGCTTGGAAAATGGGTATGGAATACCAAATGCATTGAATTATCGGTAAAGGTTCTTTGCATTGGTACCCTAAAAAGAACACATTATCGTCCTAAAGAGTCCTACCTGCATCAAGAGGCAAATGCTGTCGAATATCACGCGCATATTCGACATGCCAATCGTAGTCCAATTCAAAGTACTGTTTCAGCAACTCTAGGTGTTGAAGTCGAATTGGGACGACGAACTACCGAAAAAATTAGACGACAAGTGGCTCAGCTAATTTGGACAGCCTTCTCGAAACCCTTATGCTCGTTTTATACAGATAGCCACTATCTTTCACCAGCCCATTTTGGACGACCATTTTTCGACGATTCCGGAGGCGGATCTTAGCCATTGGCTTATACTGCCAACTTCATATTTTTTTTGTACCCATTAGCAATAATGCAAATTTTCATCAGTTTTAATTAGACAGCGAAACCATCAAGAACACTAAAACTATTCAGTCCACTTAAAGGCTCTACGCATTAAGGATTTCTTCCGCTCACATTTTAACTAACCTATAAAGTTTAAGGGGACCTTCACCTGAATTTTTTTGAAAAAATCGATTTTTTTTTTTACATAAAATGAAAGTTCTATATGTCTAGAATATATGTACCAAAGGATATTTCGATACGACGCGTATTTCTTGAGCTAGAGCGTTTCAAACATACCCATGATAACAAGAAAGCTATCTAAAGGCAAAGTTTCTAAAAACTTTAAACGCGTCTTTCTCGAAACCATGTTTTCTGAACTCATGTCAAGCACAGGGCTCGTTCTATTGATCCGATTTCCTTCATTCAAGAAGCGTTTGAAAGTATATACTTTTTTGTATGGCTTATACCTAAAATTGACATGAAAATTGTTTATTTATAATTGTTAAACAAGATCAAAATAAAAAAAAAGGGGAAAAATGTCAGTTTTTTTCAAACGCCCATAAAATTGGTTTATTTTCACCAAAATTGATTGTCGTTAGGTATAAGCTATAGGAAATTTCATAAATTTTAATAATTTATATACATTTCTAATTTCAGTTCACTACCAGAGGCCCGACACTTGACAAAGCGGAAAAAACGAGGTCGACGAGATCCGCCATTTTGAATTTCCTAAATATCGAATACTTTTTTTTATCGTAAATAAACAACGAATCAAAGTTCAAAAGCTCATGTTCGTATGTCTTTTCATTTTCCCGCAATCCATTCTCAAATTTTGCTTCATTTTCGGCCAAATCCAGGTGAAGGTCCCCTTAAAGGTATAGATTCTCTATTTTCGTAGCACACTTTTGCGCTTGGGGAAGAAACAACCGAAGCCTAGTTACCCCCTACGTCCCGATTACTGATTTAGTAGGGAAGCAAAATAAAAAGTCTAAAACTACTCTAAGCGGGCGGGAATGAGCGTGAAAAATTTTGACACAAACTTGATCTGCGCGGATACCATTCGAGTACAAGTTCCAAATCGGATAGTTCTATCTTTTATAGTCTTCGAGATCCACGCGTAAATGCAATATTAACGCGTTTGTATGAGAATATATACATAAATTATATATATATGAGTATATCTCCTCTAAAAATCGGTCGATTTGGATGATATTTGTTTGTCAGATATAAGTTCATAAATAGAAATATCGACATCAAAAGTTTTTCAAAAACCCTTCCTGTGTTTGCGCTACATTAATTATGCGATTTATAGTGGCGGAAGTGGAGTGAAACAGGGTACATAAGCATAACGCACCGGACAAATAAGACTGCAGCGATAAGAGATGCGTCATCAAAAAAACCGCTGTCGTTAAATTAATAAAATTTTATATATTCAATGAAATTTAACTTAATAAATCCAATATTATATGTTAAATACAACATAACTAAGTATATACAATATTAAAGTAAACTTAAAAATAAATAAAATGTTTCAAATTTACAATATTAGCTGCTCACACAAGACCAAACAACGATAAAGAAGTCAAAAATCAAATTGATTAATATACAAATTTATTTTCTGTAATCCTATTTTGTTTTATAGTACCCAGGAAAATGGATGCATGTGGCATTTCGAAATTACGCATGCCTCTTGATTTCTGAGGACTCAATGAAACAATTAACTAAACAAAATAGGAAAACGTACAATATCTAACAACTTTAGATCTAGCAAACAAATCTTCATAAAATTAAGATTCACCCAAGATCAACACAAAAAAGGTATTTTCTAAATAAAAAGGTCAGCCGGATTTTAATCCACGTTTTCGCAAATTTCTTAACCAATGGCTCAATGACTTTAATAACTTAAAAGCTTGAAAAAAGTTCTAAAAACAGTGGGTATGAAACTGACCTCCAATCTCCACCTCTTCTTTGTCTACATATTCGACCAAACTAATCTCGTCACAAACACCTACCTATCAGAAAACTAGGCGGCTACGTAGCAAACTCCCTGAACTATATTCTGATAATTATATCTTTGTGTCCCATATTATAGCCTTGACAGAAACTTGGTTAAAGCCGGATATCTCTAGCTCCAAAGTTTTTCTAAGTAATTACACCACTTTTAGACGTGATCGACCTATAAGAAGAGGGGGTGGAGTCCTCATTTCGGTAGACTCCCAAGGTAAAATCCAGGGACCGTAAATACGGATTATTGTTATTGTTATGATTTTGAAATTTAAATCACAAAAAATCATAAATAATCATTATTCTCTTAAAGAAAAAGAATCATAAAATAAGTATTTTTTATTTTAATTTCTTTTCGCTGAAAAATATCACTCAGATCATGATTGCGGTAAAATTATTACATTTTCTGGGCATTTGACTGAATATCTTCTTAGACCACATATACAGGTACTATAGTACCATTATTTTTTCACTTAAAGCCTCCGTACCACTAAAAATTGGAAAAAACGGAATACCATGTTAGAAATGGATGTTTTGATGAAATGATGAAATTGATGATGTTTAAGAACTGTTTTGCGTCTGATCCTGATGGTATCACTCTCTCTAGGGCTTTCCCCCTTTTAATCCCAGAGGACCCATATCACCATACGCTTGAGATTTCAATCAAAACAATCTCTGTTATCGATCAAAAGTTTCTTTTCGTGGGAAATAAAATTCGCTGAGATTTTCGTAAGGCTGATTTTTTTCCAAAAAATAACATGCATTTGATTGACCCGACATTTTGGCATGGACCGATATAAATGTCGGAAAATTTTTATATAATTTAAACACATTTTTTGACTCATGTGCGCCTTAGAAATATCCGTCCAAATTCAAACAAATATCCAAACTTTCTAGTACTCATGTATGCAGAGTATGAGTAGCCGTCAATAATGAGAAGTCCACTGCCTCCACATTTTCTCTCTACAAAGGCAACTGCCCTCCTGTTAACCTTAACGGCTCTCCAATCCCACAGGTAGACAATCCCAGGTACCTGGGATTCACCCTAGACAGGAGGCTCACCTGGAAGCCCCATCTGATTAAGAAGAGGAAACAGGCTAATCAAAGACTTCGATCCTTCTACTGGCTTATGGGTAGGAGATCGAAGCTGAGAACTTCCACTAAACTCCTCATCTACAAGGCAATAATACGCCCTATCTGGACGTACGGCATACAGCTCTGGGGAACTGCGAGCAAGACGAATGTCCGAACTATGCAAGCTTTCGAAAATAGAGCCCTTCGAATCGCCACTGGGGCCCACGTCTATCATGACAATCGCACCATCCACGAGGTTCTCAATTTCCCTTGGGTCAAGGACGAGATACAAAGAAGCAGCGCACGTTACATACAGAGGCTTCATAATCACCCGAATCGGTTGGCCAGCTCCCTGCTGGACAGCAGCGAGCAACCCAGAAGACTTAAAAGGAC